GTATAAAACTATTTACGCGAAAGCTGACAATATTTCTGCTTGCGGATCAACTGTAGTTCCGTTGAAGAAAGGTCAAGAACTATATTTTAAAGTTCAACAATCAGGACCAGGGTCTTTCCTGCAAAAAGGAAGCGGTTTCACTATTTTAAGAATTTAGCTGAAAGATTAAATATAGTGTATTTGTAAACCTGAAATTTAAAATCAAAATATAAAACTAAGTAATTTGACTTGAGTTTTTGGCCGCATCTAAATCAAACAAATATACGCTTAATGGCTTTAATTACATAAACCTTTGCTAAGAGATAAAAACGAATTTTTTTTTTAAATTTTAAATCCATTCTTCGTAATTGTAAGTGTATTCTGGAATTTACCAGTCATTTCTCGCCACCACCGTCAACCTCTTCTGTTAGGTTATACACTTTTAGAACACAACCCCTAATTGTCGTAATTATAATTGTATATCGTTTGACTAGTAAATAGATATAAACAACTCAGAGTACAGCAAGACATATGTCACTAAGATCTAAATGACACACATGGTCTCTATTGTCAGATTACTGGTTAACTTTTTTTTCTATGGTCAAAGTATATTTTAAATCAAGCCTTGATATACAAGAATCTTGATTATTTATATGATATGTTAACACACTTCTCAACCATCCACTGAAACATTATAATTTTAAAGACAGCACTACAATAAAACGCCAACCTTGCAATAGATTTTATGTCTGACATTTTGTTGGTATGCATACTGTCTGTACCTAGACCCTAATGCAATAAAAAATACACCGCATGTGCACGATTATGTAAATATATTTAAACAGAATATACTGGTACAACAAAGATATTAAATTTAATACATAGTACGTTGTCTTTTTAAAATATTTATTGAAACTTTCTTACTACTAGCAATTCATATTGTTTTAATCAATTATAATTGGACAACAATTAGTTTAGGATGTGTCCAATTTTTAAATCTTAGGTCATCCTCGACTAGACATGTTGACCTAACGACACTGACGCTCCCACGGCCTAAATTCACAGTCGTTGATTTGTTTACGGTCCACGTCAGCACTGGCCGCCGCTACTGGAACAACTCTCTTTGATTCCTGCAACTCTCTGACCGCAGGCACGTCATCGACTTGGTCGGCCACAACAACAGCCAGGGTAAACAGCAGACAGGCAATCACGACAGCTTTCATTTTCTACAAGAAAAACAGCTTATATTAAAAAAAAATTCTCAAAAGTATTTTGAATCTAATAAAAACAAAAACAATGTAAAACGAAATAGCTTTTTTGTAGTACAAAAACAACTATATTGAAATAGAAAATTAAAACAGTTTTGAAATTAACGTTAATTTAGATCAGCTAATTTGTCTATCAACAATGAAAAGACAGACCATTTTAAAGCGCTTAATGGTTTGTTTATGAATATTTAGTTGCATTCAAAAACTTGTTTGTTAATATAGAAATTTTTAGAATTGATTCATGGAGAAATTTTTTTTATCTTGATCTAAAACATCAGCGATTTCAAAAACCTTAAACAAGCAAATTGTATTCCACATTGAAAGATTAACTTTTAAATTTGCATATTTTTAAAATAATTTTCTAATTTCATTGTTATGGTACATTTGCATATTTACAAATAAGTTTTTTAAAAATAAATTTAGTTTGATCTAGAACAAAATATTTCAAAATGCTTTATAATCAAATCATTCGATTAACCCACTGAATTCGTTTGAGAACAACAAAACGATTAGATTATGTTACAGTTATCAAATACTCCAACCTGCGAACACCTCCCTCTACCACGACTTATCAGACTAAACTTACCAAAAATATAGACTCACAGAGACTCAGGTAGACGTACACTGGTGTTTATAGACCCCTATGTCAAACAAAATAACTGCTGATGTATAAATAGACATTACCATGTGTACAAACAAATTGTATGGAAAAAAGTATCTATAATATATATATATATATATATATATATATATATATATATATATATATATATATATTTATATATTATGTAGGCTGTATATATATTGTATACAATAAGTGCTTGGAAAACAACGTTTTACTGTATTAGTTTTCTAAAATGAATTTAAAAACGTGTATGCATACGTTTTTATACTCCTTACCTCTGTAAAACTGAACTGGTTTTGTTGCAACAAAGAAGAGACTACTTGCCCGTGTGTATGACTGTACACCTTGCTTTAAAACGGATTCAGCTAAGTAGCCGGAATTTATACAATTTGATCACGTGATCGATATCGGCTGGAGCAGATTATAGTGTCTAGTAGCTTAATTGGGAACAAGAGAACAGTATTAAGTTATTAAGGTATAATATTTTAGGTGATCATTATGTATGTTTCTTTCAGAGGTTTTTTTTCCGGTGGGGTGGGGGAGAATTCTCTTGATACTTTTCGTTAGGGAGGGTGGGGGCTGTCTAAAATTTCCGAGGGGGAGAACAATGGTAAAAGTATATTTTCTAAATAAATTCTAATTCGTTCTTTGGAGGGAAGGAGGGGGGGGGGCTGACCGTAGACGTTTCTCGTCTCCCCCCCCCCCTCGAAGGGATGCCTGGAAGAAACTGATCATTATTTGAAAATTTATTAATTGGGAAACACATGGTTGTACGTAGATTACACTCACAATGGATATCAGCCCTGCTGTTAATGTATACAATATTGCAAAGGGTTACTTAAATGTAACATGTAAATAGATTTGTTTCAAAGACATCCCAATACATAACCTAACACCACGTGTTTCAATTTTAGCCTTAAGGCTAAAATTCCCGGATTACGAACACATTACGTTCTTATTAAAGTGTATATTTACTAATCGCTGAGTGTATTTATTACGATGCTACATTCTGCATAGCGAGGGTTATTAGTTTGTGTTTGTTATATGATGAATACTCTAAGACGTACTTGTTAACGGTAAAAAGAATAATTGTACCGTAATACTGAAAATAATATGATTTAACTAATAAAAGGGAATTAAAACCAAGTGTATAGTAAAATATGTAGTAGTCTACAGTCACGTGAACTAAGTCACGTGTAGGATGAGCTCTAAAAGTGGTACTCACATTTAGTAGCTAGTAACAGTAAGCAGAATCAATGATAAAAGCCAGGTTTGAGGAACACTTGTCTTTGCAAGGGTTTACAGTATGTAAACGTAATTATCAATCCAACGAATACGGGTCAACTCAATGCCCGCAGTTTACTGCCTGTGTAAAATTATAAGCTTTAATAAACACAACGTTAACTACAAGAGGATGCTACATAAGAATGTATTAGACTTTGAAAATACTTAGGAACATTGATAAAAAATATGAGTTACAAAAAAGTTTAGTATGTAAATGATAAATCTTTTTCTTCTTCGTTCTTAATTTTAGTCTTGGAAGGGATCCCCCTCCAATACAATTAAAAATACGCGTCAACTGGTTATGCGCCATTCATTGACTCCGATTTCAGCCTGCTTTTCTTTTTATTTGCTGGCATAGCCTTTGTCCAACCAAGAACAAACTACAAGGCAGCAGTTGTTTGATTTTGGAGTGAATTATCTCTCCTAGATAAATGGATGTCCCCAGCTAACGAGCCTCATCTACCCGAGGGTTCGAACTGGAGACTGTTAGCAACCATGAGCTTTACCGACTCGACCACGCCGGCCCTTGTAAATGATACAAAACAAAGCACGTGGGAGCAGTGTTTCTTCCAGACTTTTTTTCCGGGGGTGCACTTGAAAGTTTCCGGGGTCGGACAGCAATTTCTGGGAGGGGGCGTATACTGTCAAAAGTATATATTTTCTATATATTTTCATTTCGTTCGGGGGAGCGGGGTATAATTTCTTCGGGACGGGCCGTGCCCCCCCCCCCCCTCCGATGAGATGCCTGGAAGAAACTCTTCGTGGGAGTAGGCTCGACGGCCCTAAACTCTGCGTGCGAAACCCTTTCAAATGTGGTTAAGAGTAAGAGTAAGAGAGACATTCAGCCCCCCCCCCTCTTTTTTTTAAATACACCCGTACTTTGCTTATCATCTGACTAGCTTCTCTATCTAGACTGGACAATGTGTTAGGTGCACCAGTGTTGGTCAAGCCTATGATATGGTTCACAGACAGATGACCAACGATCTATGTGCTAAAATAACGTACATAAAGTGAGGTGGATCAGAATGCGGGGAACTGGTAGGTTGTAGGTAAGGCAAAATGGAGGTATAACCGTTTTACCGTAACACTGATGCTGGTTAACGGCAGTCATTGATCGATAGTATTTCACCAGTCTAACTGCAAGTACAGCAATGGACTACCTTGTTGACAAGTAATACCATATTATTTGATATTTCTATTAAACGAAACAGGGGGTTAGGCGGATCTAGGTAATACAATAGGCTGATTACTTTGTTAAAATAAGTACCTTGACCCATTTCAACATAGCAACTAAGTATTTTATTAATATTACCACGTCTTAACTACAACACACTGTTATTGTTTAAAAAATAAAACAAAATATATTCTTTCAGCACCTTATTGTTTTAAAAAGCTTGTTATTGCTTTCATACTCATTGCCGATTAAAAGAGTACTTTGTTTCACAACATTATTCTGCAACTGCCAGCTTGGAGAAATTCTTGTATCAAATGGAACAATGGGCCTACTTTAATTAGTTATTTAAAAACAAAAGTATTCACATACATGTTTTAAATATCGTTGAACCTTAAACTTTCAGGGTTCTTTTAGGGAACAATAGACGATTTTTCGATTAATCTCTGTACCCTTTCTTGGTCTGCTCTAAGTGGATCAGCTCTAGTCAGCCCAGTCCAATCTATGATGCCATCCAACCAATGTTATCTCCTCCTCTTCTTTTTCCGACACCCTGCCGTGCATTGTTGTTTTGGAATGGTCGTTGGCACTAGTGACCTGACCCAGCAGTCTCAGTTTCTTTGTTTTGATTAGGCTTAGTGTGAGGGTGTTAGGAATCCCAAAGAAAGCACAACACGATTGATGCTATTACAGTATTCTTTATTTCTCTATCTCCCGTCCTCCAGTCACAAAATCCACCTTCCTGCTTTGACACTCAACCTTCAACTGCCCTCCGCATTCATCCCTACACACCACCTTTCTCTCGCTCACAACACAGCCACTGTCACCCGATCAGTCGCTTCCCTTGTACCCTCGTTCACTCGTACAACAACATACACGTCAACACACCCGGCCTCGCGTCTCACTACATCATACATACACACACGCAGTGACCCTTTCCACGTATTCACCTTTCATACACATTACATC